ATATCTCACCGCTACACTTGCGCGGAATTTTACACGTCACATACATTATCAACTAAGCCACGTACATTATCAACTAAGGATTGTTTGTTCATTGCAACGGCTCAGTTACTTTACCTTTCTGTTTCTCTTGAAGGCCCAAGGCGGAGTTTGATCACAGCTCCACGATTTGCAAACATCTCAGAAAACAGTGAGGAGGATGATGCTGTAGTAACTAGTCCGTCGAGAACGAGGTCAATTCAAAAGAGATCAGGCGGACGCGTCAATGATTCTACACTGGAAGATACCAGACAGAAACCGATGAAAAAAACCTTTGAGATCGTCGACAGCGATGATGAAGACGATGAGGACGATGCGATTGTCTCCTTGCCAAGGAGATCGCTAGACACAGGATTTAGTCCACAGCGACCTTCTCTTAGACAGTCAAGCCAGCCGCTAAGCTCTTCCGCGTCCAGCCAAAGGGAAGTTTTAGGTTCCAGTAGAGACGAAGCCCTTCAGAGACCAGGTCTGTCACTATCGAAGAGGCCACTAAGTGGCAAAAGGCCAAGTTTAAATCGCAGTGAGGGCGGTGACAGTGGAGAAGAGAGGACATCCCGATATTCAAGCATAGGAAAATCCAGTTTGGCACTGGGCTCAGAGGAAGAAAGTGATGACGACGCAGTTGTCTCTCGATCAAGTAGATCGCAAAACAAAGGATTCATTCAACAACGACCTTCTTCTCAGCGGTCAAGCCAAGCGATAAGCTCTGCCGCGTCCAGCTCAAGGGAAGTCTTCGACTCTCATAAGGACGAAGTCCCTCAGAGACCAGGTCTGTCACTATCTAAGAGGCCACTAAGTGGCAAAAGGCCAAGTTTAGATCGCAGTGGAGGCGGTGATAGTGGAGAAGCGAGGAATTTTCATTCTTCAAGCGTAAGGAAATCCAGTTTGCCCATGGGCTCAGAGGAAGAAAGTGATGACGATGACGTAGTCGTGACAGGTAGAAAGACTAAGAATGATAAGAAGCCAGCTCGTTCCAGTCTTACACAGAAATCATCCGCAAGCACGCGTAAGTAAATCTATACGGGAGTTCTTTTGTTGAGAACTAAGCTTTTGATACTCTATATTTACTTGTGTGTTTGAGTTTTTGTTTTCCTTTTGTATCGTCACTCAGTCCCTTTCTTACAGTAGTTCACCGCTGGGTGATTGTAAGTCTCCATGTAATTTCAACGGTTTCTTATAACGCCCCTAGAAACACTCATAGTGAACTAAGCAGAAATTTTATAGCAGTACCTAAATAAACCGCTCTCTATTTGTCTCTTACAAAATTTTGGTGAGCAAAGTGATTTCTTAGCGGAGAAAACCTAAATTTAAATATTTAGAAATTTCGCATATTTTTTCACTCACATAGTTATATACAGCTGTCTGTAAATACTAAGATTTCCTAACCGTCATTTCTCCGATATCAACTGTATCGAATTGAAATCTTCAGTGCGTACGCACTTGAATTATGTATTTTCTTGCCATTTGGAATATTCCTTGTTTTGATTATCCTCATCTAAATCAGTCGTGATACTGAAGAAGAACTGTAACTAAACGTGGTCCGTTTGCTTCGAGATTTTCCGTGACCTGTGAGATGCAAACTTCGAATCGAGTGGGTCATTCTCCCTTATTAGCTGCTGAACATTTCGTTGGATGTTAGGTCCGAGAATCTGATAAGTTTGTCTATTTTCAGCACCTGTTAGCTGAAGAAAGTAAGAAGACGTTTTGTGTTTGTCATTTCTTGGAGATACACGATCAATTTGCCCGTAGAGGGAAACCACCGTAAATCGTTGCCTTGTATTCTTGTTTCCTTATTTTTTTTAACCTTAAGTTTATAATATTCTTTTCAGCTCCAGCGCCACAAAAGCGTGAACGTGGATCGATAGTTAGCAGCCTGGACAGCTTTTTCTCTTCCACTGCTTCGTCAAAAGATTCCAAAAGCAAAAAGTCCCCCCGGAAAACTCTAGCTCAGTTCAATGATAGTGATGATGATGATGACGACGACGACGAAGATGAAGTAGTTGTATCGTCCCTGTTGGGATCTAAATCCAAACAGAAACGCAGAGTCTCCGCCGATTCAGGTTTGCAATGACACTGTGAGACTTGGCTAAACAATGTTATATATTCTGCTACCACCTATTTCCTTGTCAAATGTTTAAGTAACAAAATGGATATTTCTTGAATGTAGAAACTGCACTTTTTTTTGTTGCTCATCCAAATTTAACTCTTTGTTACCTTCTAGCCTTTTTTCTGGGAGCGTACTTTCATTCACTCGTGTGTACGTTTGTTCATTCATTTAATTGTTCGTGTATTCATTGTTATTTATATTTTTAGTCTCTAACTTATGGGCAACATCGGATTCCGGAAACGATTTAAAGACTAAGCGGAAGTCGGTAAGTTTTACTAATGAAAACCATGCCTTTAATCTCCAGGGTATGTATAGGACCATTGTTTTCTAAGAATTAGTTGCGGGGGGGGGGGGGGG